CAGTTCAATTCTTCTTCTCCAGCACCATGTCTGCCTGCATGCCACCATGAAGATAGTGAATGAAACCTCTGAAACTGTAAACCGGCCCCAATTAATTAGATGTCCTTTGTTAAGAGTTGCTGTGGTCATGGTGTCTCTTCACAGGAATAGAAACCCTAACTAAGAATGTGTCCTGTTGGGCTGTTAGGATTTCCATAGCAAAATACTATCAAATGATTGACTCAAATAATAGTTTATTTTTCCCCTTCAGAATTCTGGGGGATGGAAGTTCCAGGTCTAGGACTGGTTCCATTGGAGAGTCTGGGGGAGGTATCTGTTGAGCACCCCTACTTCTCTTGTAATGACCACATCCTCTCTGGTCATCTCACATCTTACATCATGTTACAGAGTCTATGTCTGCGTCCAAGTTTCCTGTTCTAAAAGGAACACTGATTTTATGAGGTCAGAGTCCACTCATTAACTTGATTTTTATTTTACCACTTCAGTACCGACGTCATCACTAACTGAGCTTCTGTGGTGAGGGCCGTGACCCCAAACTCTGAGACAGTGGTGAGATACACATGTCACCAGAGGAGCCGGTGAGAAGACAGTGAATACTTCTCTCTGCTCCTCACTTACTCCTGCTCACCTGTCCACCCGCATTCGCCTGGGCACAGGACCCTGTCTGATTGAGCTTTTGAAGTAGCAGAAATCCCACCTGCCTTTCAGAGCTAGGATGGTAAGCAGACAGCATTGCTCCCCACTCTACAGGCTGTGAGAATGGAATCCACAAGTGAGGCAGACTGAAGTCTCATGCAATAGTTAACGTTAGTCAGAGCATCAGACCATTTCTGCTCTGAGGGCGAAGAGAGTCACATGTGTAAGCTTTAGAAGAGCAAGCCACAAGCGGCAGACTAGCTGCGCATGACAGAAACATGCTTTCCCATAGAGGCGTACAAACAGACAATAGCCAACTGTAAGGAATAAAAACAATCGAAAGCATACTCACTCCTATCAGCTACACTTGGACGTGCCACGAGAGCACATTCCAAGGACAGTTCCAAGAGCAATTAAAGCAACTGAGGTCATAAGACTCTTGTCTTGTTTTCTTGGAGTTTTCCCCAAGCACTCAGAATTCTCCTCACACAACAACATTCTTGGACGGTGTTCCAACATAGGATAGTGTTTTATCATGCAACAAACAGAGGGAACATAGAGAGTCTCAATACTTGGTCCTTCCCTTAATGACAGAGAATATTTCAGAGAAACAACTCATGAAAAAAGCACAAATCCTCCCACCGCATCTATCCTTGAAAGGTTATGGGGGGGGAGGAAACAAATTAGTCTACAAAATTGGGGTGACAGGCCCCTGTCAACAGTCTAGCATTTACATGTTCATAGAGAACACTTGAACAGAATTTCTTTTTTTAATTTTAATTAGAAATAAGCTTGCTTCACATGTCAATCCCAACTTCCTCTCCCTCTCCTCCTCCCCTGCTCCCCACTAGTTCCCCCAGCCCTGCACCCAGTCCCCACTCCACTCTCCAGGGAGGGTAAGACCCTTAATTGGGGATCTCCAAAGTCTTTCATATCATCTGGGATAGGGCCTAGGCCCTCCCCCATGTATCTAGGCTGAGAGAGTATCCCTCCATATGGGATAGGCTCCCAAAGTCCATTTGAATGCCAGGGATCAATACTGATCTAGTACCTGAGGTTCCAAAGATTGCCAAGGCCTCACTGACACCCACATTCAGGGCGTCTGGATCAGTCCCATGCTGGCCTCTCAGCCATCAGTCTGGGGTCCAAGAGCTCCCCTTGTTCAGGTCACCTGTTTCTGTGGGTTTCACCGACCTGGTCTTGAACATCACTCCTCCTTCTCTGCAACTGGTTTCCAGGAGTTCAGTTCAGGGTTTAGCTGTGGGTGTCTGCCTCTGCTTCCATCAGCCACTGGATGAAGGCTCTAGGATGGCATACAAGGTAGTTGTCAATCTCATTATCAGGGAAGGGCATTTAATGTAGCCTCTCCACTATTGCTTAGATTCCCAGTTGGTGTCATCCTTGTAGATCTCTGGAAATCTCACTAGTGCTAGATCTCTCCTCAAATCTATAATGACTCCCTTTATTATACTATCCCTCATCCTGCTCTCCTCTATCATTCCCCTGACTCAACCTTCCTGCTTCCCCATGTGTAACGTGAAGCTTTTCTTTTTTGAGAGGAGCCTTCCCGCCAGCCTGGTTCTAGAGCCGCATCAGTCCCAAATAAACACACAGGAGGCTATATTAATTATGAAGCTGTTGGCCTTGTTTGTTTCTTACTGGGTAGCTCTGACTTAAGTAATTACCCCATAATTGTTAACCTAAGTATGTTTCTTACCGGAGAATAGTTCCGGGCTTCCTACCCCATGGCGGTTACATGTTGACTGTCGTGTTTCTCCTTCCCAGAATCCTCCTGGACTCCTAGTCCCACCTATCTAGATTCCTATTGGCTGAACAGTGCTTTATTGACAAATGTGCAGGACTTCCCCCATCACCCATGTTCTCTTCTCCCCCTTCCTAGTCCCCTGCTCTCTCTCCCCTCCCCCCATGCTCCTAGTCCACTCAGGAGATTCTTTCCCATTCCTCTTCTCCGGGGTACCATGCATATCTCTCTTAGGGTCCTCCCTGTTTCCCAGACTCCCTGGTGGTGGGATTGTAGGCTGACACTCCCCTGCTTCATGTCTAAAATCTGTATATGAGTCAGTACATACCATGTTTGTCATCTTGTGACTGGGTTACCTCGCTCAGGAAGGTTTCTTCTAGTGCCTTCCATTTGCCTGCAAATTTCAAGATTCCATTGTTTTTTTTCCTGTTGAATAGTACTCCATTGTGTAAATGTACCACATTTTCTCTATCCACTCTTCAGTTGAGGGGCATCTAGGTTGCTTCCAGGTTCTGGCTATTACAAACAATGCTGCTATGAACATAGTGGAACAGATTTCCTCGTTGTATTAATGTGCATCTTTTGTGAATATGCCTAAGAGTGGAATTGCTGGGTCTTGTGGTAGACTGATTCCCATTTTTCTGAGGAATCTCCATACTGATTTCTAAAGTGCTATAATGAGTCGGCACTCCCACCAGCAGTGGAGGAGTGTTCCCATCTCTCCACATCCTCTCCAGCATAAACTGTTATTGGTGTTTTTGATTTTAGTTATTCTGATAGAAGGAAGATGGTACCTCAGAGTTGTTTTGATTGGCATTTCCCTAATGGCTAAGGATGTTGAACACTTTTTTAAGTGTCTCTCTGTCATTTTAGACTGCTCTATTGAGAATTCTTTATTTAGTTCTGTACCCCACTTTTGTTTCTCAAGCAGGCAAGGCAATTCTTTGTGTGTATTCCTTTCTATTGAAAATAGTACCTGTGGGATGTTTTTCTCATGATCATAATACATGTCTCCTATTAGAACATGTAATAGAAAAGTCTTGTATAGGGCTGGGGCTATAACTTGAAGGTTGAGTGCACAAAGATCCTGGGTTCAAGCACCAACATTATCAAAATATTCTAATTTGTGCACTAGAACACACAGCAGTACACAGCATTTGGTAATGGCATCCCTCACTTTTTCTGTAAAATCCTGTCATCGCTGGCCTTTTGTTAGTCTGCTTCCTTTTGCTTTTCACAGAGTAGAAGCCTGGAGTATGTTTTATCTCTCTTTGCCTTCCCCGTGCTCACCTGCAGCCTGCTCACAGAGCTCCACTAATGCTAGCAAAGGAAGCCATTCTAGGAACATAAACACAGCTGAAGGACTTACTCTACCTGCACTACCCCAGCATCAGCTACTATGGTAGAAAAACCTTCTCTTATCAGGAAGTTACAAAGTAAGGAAGACAGAAAGTATCAGCACAAGAAAGCAGAGCAAAGCCCGCATCCCGGAACAGGAGTCTAGGCGGACACAGGGTTGGAGCAGGACTGTGTGGACAGATAAAGAATGGATCCCGGGAAAGGAAGCCCCGCCCTCCACTTCATGAGTGCACAGGAGGCTCCCACCCAGAAAGGGCCCCGGAGACCAAGACTGCTTTCAGCAAGGACTGCTTTGTCACTCTCTGCCCGTACTCCTGTCACTGTTGAGCTTGTGGCCCAGGGCTGGGGATACATGTCCAGGAGCCTTGTCCTGGAGCTTCTGTTGATTGTGTTGTACCAACAAATGTAAACCAGCCACTGTCCTGGGCTGAGCTTTTGAAACCTCTGAAGGTGGATTAGAAAATGCCCTTGATCCTTCTCAGACTCTAGAAGAACAATTAGAGAACTCCTGAGCCTGCCCAGAGAGGAAAGTAAGAATGGAATGAATGGAGAGGTACAACCCAAGGGGAGGGAGAACGGAATGAATGAAGAGTTACAACAGAAGGGGAGGGGTTATAAGCACTGAGCAGGGATCACCAAACTTTAAGCAATTTTTCCCACCTCTGCTATAATCCTATCACCCATGTTTTCCTTTCCAGCATCCTGTCAAATTACTATTCAGATCTACTGGCTAATTCAGCCTGAAAAGGGAGCAGAAAATTCCCGCGTCATCTGATACACTTTACTTTGATGGATGAGCCTGGAGTTTCAGGGAGAAGTTAGGCAGAAAAATCTGGCTCCTTCAAACTAATTACTGCATATCTGATTTATTTCCCACCTTAATGTTGTTTATTTTGTTTTTATTCAAAATATAAAATTACTCCCTGCGTTGGGAGATTATTTTTTTTTCTTTTAGCAGCAGATTATTTGTGGGCCCTGGTTATAAATAGGAGGTTAGAATCTGTGACACATTGTTTTCCCCATTCACACAGGAGGTCCCCTGAGATCGACCGAGTTGCATTTTTTTCCAGTTAGAGTCTTTAATGGCTAATTATTCACTGGCTGTTCTGTTAGAGGCCTTTTTGTTGTTGTTTTGGGAGAATGCACCGGTTTGCTTTTGCATCTTATTCCTGGAAAACTGTTTATCAATAACCTGGAATTGTCAACATCATCAGGAAGTTGTGTGGCACATTGCACATTTGATTGCTTTTGTGATTTATTAGTTTAACACATGTGTGTTTATCATCTGCTTATACTACATAATGGATGGGAGCATACAGTTTCTTAGGTGCAGCCAGGCACCTAAGGATATAGAGACAGGGAGAATTTCATTCCCCACGTTGATTTGTTCTGACTTGGTGTATCTTCATTTTTAAACATTTATTTATTCACTCACTGACCCAGCATCCAGCGCAGCCATCGATCATACTGGGGGTTCACTAGGAGCTTGTGCAAGGGGTGTATTCTCATCCATTTATTGTCTATCCCAGCCACCCAACAATCCCTTTCGTGGCGCCATCCTTCCATTCAACCGCAGGACGCAGACAGAGGGAGGACAGCAGCGCTGTGCTTCAGGGCCCTCGCTTGATTTGCATCTGCGTATTGTCTTTTTTTACATTTGGGCTTTAGGTTACTGCCTGGCCGTTTATTTTGGAACACGCTACTCAAATTTCCCTGTGTATTAATCGAGTCATTAGTGCCCAGTGAAGAAAGTAAGAAGCCCTGCAGATGTTTCCAGCAAAGAGAGATTTGTTGCTGATAAATAGTCGCAGTGCTCTGATGGAGATAGAGAAGTGACGGGTAGAAGTCGCCACGCGGGGCCATGGAGCATGCTCAGTATTTAGGAGAGACGTGGGAGGTTGCGTGCTGCTGAACTACCAGAAGTCTGCTGCCGCTATTGCTGCCCTCGGTAGTTGTAGTACATGGCGCCAGCATCCACCAGACAATCCACTTCAACTCCTACCACCAGAGGAGGTAGCAGAAGAAGCTGGAAATGTAAATGGAAGAAGAAACTCACTGCTCCTTTTCGTGGACTTCTAGGCCAAACCTCAGGGAAGGCAGCTGACACAGGAGTTTGGGAAATGTCCCTCAGAGGCCTCCACATACCTGCTTGGTATAAAAGAGAACACTGGTAGGGAGGAGTGAAGTCGTCAGGACACAGTGACTAGTGTGAGCAAAGCCAGTATGAAACTCACCCGATGAGTCAAGTTGGTCAGGGCATTAGAGCAATCACTGACACACACATGGAAAACAGGTGACATCAGCTATTATCACTCTAATGGTTCCCAGAAGTCAGGGAACAGTGTATAAGAAGATGGTAACAGAGTTAGGTTTATGTTTGAGACAACTCAGTGAGGATCAGGGGAGAGAAGAAACCGGGGACTCCTAGGAAGTGAATGGTGTATCTGAGATGAGGGGTTCTTTATCTAGAGCAACTGATTTATAGAAGCGAAGAAGGAAGGAGCTTCTGCGATGACCCTGAAGTCTGGGCATAGGTGACTGGATAGTGACAGTCTTATTTGTAATTTTACCATCAAGGAAAGGACAGGGGCAGTCATGCTGTCTATATCTCCCCAAGAGTACATTGTGCTTGTGTACTGTACTTAGGCTTGATTAGAACTTTTGAATAAATAAATAGTGCACTTTTCTCCCTTCATTAAGATTGAAACAGAGATCATCGGTCACATTCTTGGGAGCAGAGACACAGAACTGAGTTTTCCTCCGTCCTCTGCACTTTGCAGGGACCCCAAACAGACTCCACGAATGCAGAAGCACACCATGAACACAGAAGAAACCTCCTCCAACCTAAAACTGAGACCCTGAACAAGCTAGAGATGAGATGCTCACTGTTTAAAACAGGAATGTAGGACACGGGTGTCATAGATGATTGTCACCATACAGTGCTACCATGTTTGAGGACATCCACAGCAGACATTGTCCCTTAAAGAAACAGAGATCAGTTCCACTCCTTGGGGAAATGTGTGTTCTGTGACTGGACTGTCTGTGTTAGGAGCAGGGATGTGCCTTCTCAAAAGACACGCTTCTTGCCTCCAGGATTTGTGACTTAAGACACACTCTTGTGAAGTTTACATGTCAGAACGTTTTCTGTATTTCAGAGAGGAGGTTGCAAACCCCTGTTACAGTGTCATGCCTACCTCATAGCAGGGGCTGGGACTTTTGAGATAACTTTTCTAATAGAGCATTCTAGAGTCAGGTTGCACTGAGGCTAGCCTAGGTACCAGGTCTTCCTTCCACCCTGCCCAGAATGAGGCCTGATAATGTCCCACAGCTCTCTGGGACACATGTCAAGGTTTGGCTTCTGAGGTTTCAGCCTAGTCCCATTGAAATACCACCACATGAGACAGGAGATCCTGGAAGATGCCAGCCTTGTCTCTACAGCAAGACAAGTGTAGCCCCTCCCTTCCTTGTCCTCATTCATTCCTGGGGCCCTCCTTGTGTCATCTTGATGTGTGTGTGTGTGTGTGTGTGTGTGTGTGTGTGTGTTGCTATTAGCCCACTGTAGTTAGTGTCACTTGTCATGCTTAACCTGAAGTTCCCAGCTCCTCAGGGAACCATGGTCAGGTTCCCCATGTGCCATGCTTTCCGTGACTGTAAAGAAGCTGAACATCTCGTCTGTACTTGAACAACAGTTGTGTGACTTTATCACAGAAGATATATAGACACACCCACTTCCTTCAGATTGGACACCAGAAGATCCTAAGCATGTCTCCACTCAAGTCTAGCTCCTGAATCAATGAGTGTGTGGGGTTATTGGAAGGAGCATGGGTGAGGGGGACTTACAGGCACACAGCTGCCTCAATGACAGCTGTGTCACTGAAAGTTTCCGTGCTGGCACTGGTGACAACTTATGAAAGCTGTACTTACACTTGAGGGTCAACTCCAACATCCTCCCATTGTCTCTAACTCCAGCACTGCCCATGCAGTGGGAACAGGGGAATGATGGCTGGACTCTCTGCAGAGGGCCAGCTGACTCTATAACAGACCTGATCATGTGATACTGTGAGAGCGTGTTGTTGGTAGATTTCAAGCTCCTCTCTGATTTCAAGTGGCAGTGGTCATGTCATGCCCATAGGATGGAGTTTTACTCTGCCAGCCATTTCTTTGACGCTGTTTCATAGTTTTTCCATGTTCACAATCTGTTCTTTTTTGTTTTGTTTCGTGCCCTGAGTATTTTCCTTTATTCTGTACTTGGTCTGTCTCTTCTAATCTCTCATAGCTGACAAGCCCCAGATATGTAAGGAAAGAGAGTGTGTTTTATTAGCATCCCCAGACTTGCGTTGGCAAAACACATCCAGTAAAGGACTGTGGAGCTGAGCTAACTGAGAGTCATGTCGTGGCATGGGGGCTTGATCGTAAGTTTCAGGATAAAGCCCATTACAACCATCATACTACCAGAACAAACCCTATGACTTCCTGGTACTGTCTCTTGGAGCACATCGTTAGAATGAAAATGACAAAGTGGGATTTCTTGTGTTATTTCCTTGGGTAATTGTACTTATCTGAAGACTGACTTGGTAAAGGGATAAATACCTTCCAGGGCTTAGCAGCTTCTTGCCCAGGGTAACTTAACTCTAGCACGCAGTGATACAGCCTCTTTCTTCATCACACATTGTGAAGGACACGCTTCTCCACATCCCTCATTCAGAGACAGAGCTCTTCTCCAACACACTCAGTCATTTCTCTTCCAGGATCTGTAATATAATTAATTAGCTTGAGAAGGCTTTGGGACAATTATTAATGATGCAATTAGCTGTTGTTTCCTTTAGGGGATGGGGGCTTCCTTGTTCCCTTGATCATTTCTAAGGTTGGGCCCTATTCCTTCTGCTTTGTCTCTAACAAGCTCTGCTCTGTGCCCCAGGGATCTGCCCCAAGCCACTGCCTGGCAACGCTGTTGGCAGGATCTCTCCTATCCTATGGAGAAGTCTCAGACTCTTGCCCACTCTGTGGCATAGGAAATGGATGGGCTCAGACTCACCTCCTTAGCATGGGGGTTAATCTTTGTAAGACATAGAAGAAGTTCACGAAAATTCAATTCACGTGGTGCCTCAAGGGAGGGGTTTAGTACTCTCTCACTCGCTATTACTTCATTTGGCCCTTATCACAGCGCCACAATATATGTCAAGTTGCCATTGTGTAGAAGAAAAGTGAAGGCCCACATCATGTTGTCAAAGAACACTCCCCTATTGGCCAAAGGATTCAGACATCATCTCAAGTTTGCTCCACTTTCAAATCACTGATGCTGACGTCACACAATGCTCCCCATGGACACCATGCACACCTGCTGTAAGGTAAAGCCTATCCTATCAGGGTGTGCTCCGCACACTAACCTGCTTCCACCATAGACCTTCTCTCTGCTGAGGGTTTGTTCCTGTGTCTAACAGTCCACATCTGTCCTGCTCTGTTTCACCTGGTTGTTACGTTTTCACAGCAAGACTGAGCACAGTGGCACGTGACTGTAATCCCAGTGATTTGGATGCTGAGGCAGGAGGATTAGGGAGGTCAGAGTCCAAAGCCAGCTTGGGATGTATAGTGAGATCTGTGTCAAAACAGAAACAATAAAAGGTCATCCCTGAGAATCATTGTTCCTGGATTCCCAGGGCAAGTTAAAGCCAGGCTGAGTTAATGATTGAGAGACACGCCTTAAGCAGATATGAACTGGGACCAGAAACAGCTCTGGCCTCTGTTAACTCAGCATTTTGGCACACTCATTTAGTGTTTACTCATCTCTAAATTGGGAATAATGATATTAGGTGAAATGGTTGCTATCTCCCAGAATTCCTGTCTCCTCCCTCACATCACCAGCTATGTCAGAGACCAACACCCCCAAAGAGCCCATGTGACCTCTTACGATGTTCTCAAGGAGTTCAAGATGGAGGGACATGCGCAGCACTGTGAGCTCACTAGAATTCTTGATTTTCTTCCCTTGTTATGAGGACATCTTCCTGCACACCACTCTTTATGTATTATTAGGTGTGTATATTTGAGTGCGGGCTATGTAACTAAGCTATTCATCCATTATTAGATGTGTGTGCGTGTGTGTGTGTGTGTGTGTGTGTATGTTATGTAACTAAACTATTCATCCATTATTAGGTGTGTATATGTGAGTGCGGGCCATGTAACTAACCTATCTGTTATTAGATGTGTGTATGTGAGTGTGGGTTATGTGACTATTCATCCATTATTAAATGTGCATATGTGAGCATGAGTGTCCACATGATTTTGTCCGTGAAGATCAGAAGATGACTTTGGGGAGTTTGTTCTCTCTTTTTCCCATATCCAGGCAGGATGACTCTTCTTCAGATCATCCTGCCCTCCAAGCCTGGCCGTGCTCTATTGTCCTGTGTCCCCTCCATGTCACTGTAGGAACACTGGGGTCACAGATGCACACCACATCCCTCTTGTTTATTCATTTTGTTGTGGACTCTGGGTGTCATCTCTGCTGGTCTTGCTTGTGCAGTAAGAGCTTTGCTCTCTAAACCATTTGTCCAGCCTTAGAGCCTTAGAGTGTGTATTTTTAAGAACAGGAACCATGTACTCTCCATCTTTGGGATCTCCACTAACCAAACTGGCCTCTGGATTGTGCTGCTGAACTTGCAATTAGGTCTTGTTTGAAAAAGATGAATGAAACGATGCTGCAGCTTTCAAGCACGGGTCAGGATTTTAGCATCATGGGAGGAGAAGGGAGAAGGAAGGGCCCTCTGAACAAGCGCACATGGTGAACAGTGGTCACAGGGAGGTTGGAGCATTCCCGAGTTATCCTGGGGACCAGAAGCACCAGGGGATTGCAGGATGCAGGTCAGGGGGGGGGGAGGGCAGCTTTTAGCTGAGGGCCACTTCTGCTCCAGGGATCGACACTTCAGGCTTCAGTCTCAGGCTCCACTGAGGCTTGAAGGGAACAAATTATTGGTTCAGCTCTGAAGATGGTTTGTTGTTTTGTTTGTTCTAGTTGAGTCACTTCAGATAATGCATTGATTCAGACACACTCTGAGGACACCCATCAGAGTGTATTTGTAAAAAATAAAAACGCAGCCAGCACTCTTTAATGCAGCATTTTCTAACCTTCTGCTAGGGTAGGGACAGAGCCTTCCAAGATAAGACAGGGGTGCCCAGAGCTCCAGGTTGCCTGCACACACCTGCTGGAAGGGCCGGGGGTGGGGGTGTCAGTGGCCAGGAGCTAAGAGGCAGCCAAAGGAGAGCAAGAGAAGAGGAGGTCTTGAGAAATATGGGATCAGGGCCAGGTCCCCACTTTTTTGCCCTTAGGATCCAACTCCTTTTAAGGACACAGGATTCCATTCCTGGAATAACACCCTCCCCCCAGCCACCTTGATCCCATAAGTGGAAGATACACATTTTAAGGAAACTCTTGCTTGACCTTTCGTAAATTCAGAGTGACTGAAGGCAATGCATCTCGCATTAGGAGGAATAGATGTGCTGCCCATCCTTAGCTCTTTCCAAAATGCCACCGCGTCCGGTGTCTGCACCATATCACCTTTCTAGACAAAGAAATGGGGGCATTGACCCAGCACATTGCCACAGGACCTTTGCCTACTAGGTTGCATTGCACAATGAACCAGTGCACAGCCCAGCAAAGATTAAGAGGCAAAACCCAACCACAACCTTAGAAGCCATACCCTCTACTATGAGCTCCACAGGGTTGCTGAGCTCTGTCTGGAAGCGCTCTGGCGACCAGGAGATATAGTGGCACGTGTAGTTGCCAGTATGTTGGGCAGCCACGGAGCGCATCCACATGTCACTACAGGTGCGCTTTATTATGAATACCCTGTAAGACACAAGCTTGCCACCGCATAGCATCTCCACGGTGTCTCCAGGCACCTTGCTCTTGCAGCATAGAACAACATCGCGACCAGCAGGTACTTTACCTATCCACCCTGCCTGGAGCTCTGGGGCATGCGAGGATGCTACTCAGTTTGGGACATTTTCTGCCAGCTCCCATGTGAGTCTACTCGCCTTGCCCCATGGGTACCCATCTGTGTGTCGTCTAACTGTGCCACCCCCAGCATCACAAAAGCTATGAGACCTGTCAGGTTTCGATCTGGCTCAGGGCTTCCCTGGCTCCCCAGATGGGTGAAGAGACCTTTCCGGAAAACTGCTTCTGGTGGAAGCACAGTTCAAAGGTCTGGGGTCAAACTTTAGCCTGACTAGGAGCTCTGTGTGGTCTCTGCCCGGAGAGCTGACTCATGGAGAGCTCAATGAGGAAATAAGAGGAACAAATAGACCCCAGGGATTCCAGGGCTCTGTAAAATTACACATTAGCTCAAGCCTGTGGGGACAGCCCCCGGCCGGAACAGGCAGTCGCTGGTTATGAGTGGAGCCTTGCAGGCATCAACATGAAAAACTTGGGTCCTCACACTCTCGAACACGATTTTACTTGAACACGATTTTACTTGCCACCTTCTAGCCTAGACCCTGGGCAAAGACCAGGGGTCCATGCCTTCCCTGGGGCGAGGGGGTCACTTCCGAGACCTCCAAGTCCAAGACCTCCTTAAGGCCCAACACAGAAAGAATGGCCCCTCCCAGGATCACAGTCCAGGAACTTGGATCCATTATGGAGCACCCCACTGGGCTTCCTACCCAAGTGGCTAAGCTCACCATTCACATTCCTGCACCACTGCCTCAATCTCCTAGCCTTGGCAAACCGTGGGCGGGCAGCAAGCCCATGGTACCCTTTCTAGGCTACCCTGAGAAGGTCCCACCGAGGTCTCAAGGCTACTGTATTAAATGCCCTACATGAAGCTTGGGAAACTGAGGCTAACTGTATAACTCATTCAGGTTTGGGGGTTCTGCTTTGGAGTTCCCATCCTGCTCGCTTCTGATAACCACCGACGCCCTGCCCTGCCCCGGGTCTGCGGCCCGGCTGTGAAACTCACCATCACTCCAAATTAGCTCTACCGGCTCACTGTCTCTGGACCAAGCTGCACTCGCGAGAAGACGGTAGCCGCAGGTGAAGGGGCTCTGGTCAGCCAGGTCCGAGAGTTTCAGATAGAACTTGATTTGCTCTGGGCTGGTGCTGATGGAGGGGAGATTCAGCTCCTGCTCGCCCTGCCTCAGCTGGAACTCAACATCAATCAGTGAGGCCTGGCAGACAAGGGTCCTCTCGCCTGTCTTGGGCAGGATCACTGTGGAACTTCCGGAGGAGGTCAGCACTGGTCGGGGCGGTATACCTGCAAGACAGGGAAGACCAGTGATGCAAGAATCTGGGTCGCCCTGCTTCGTGGGGTCCCAAGAAGAACTGCCCCGGGTCTGGCCCCAAACCTATGGTGACGGCTCAGGAGCAACTTGCTTATCTTTGGACACTATGCATCAGGTCTTTACGCCCCGATTCTCAGGGTTAGGATTCAACACTCACTGTACTCCTTGATGGTCACAGTATCACTGGGCACAGAAGGGACATCAGATGTGTGAGTTAGGTAGCCGCAGCTGTAGGTGCCAGGCAGGTAGACGAGAAAGTTGGCTGGTTCCTTGTCTCCTGTCCCGGCTTCAGCTGCCCCTAGGAAACTGTTGGTTTCAACTACTTCCAGGAAACCACCATCTCCTTCCCGCCTCAGCAGAAAGGCTACATCCGGCGATCCCACCTGGCGCTGCAGGAATGTATCCAGGCCAGGTGTGATCCAGGACACTGGTTCAACAGAAAGCCGGGGTCTGGGCAAGGGCTCTGTGGATTGGGGAGAGCAGGGTGGGTGAGTGTTTCAGTCTCGTTCTGGAGGCAGCAAGCATATGAACTCCAGACTCAGAAAATATAAGGGAGGCAGGGGTGGGGCAGGGGCGGGGCAGGGGCAAGAGCAAGAGAAATGGACCTGGACAGTACTCAGTGTCAGGCCTGTCCCCATCACTCTGGGGACAGCATAAACATCCCCACTTAAACGGATGAGCAAACTGAGGCTAAGAAACACCAGGTGACATGGATTGAGTCTCTTCTGTTTATCTCCTTCCTCTGCCTCCTTACCCCATTAAGGTCCTGCCTGCCTATCCCTGCCACCTCCATGATTTTGCTCATCTCTGCCCACCTACCAGAGTAGTCCAAGCTTTATTGGAACTGGTAGAGGTCCCTATTGTCACTTGTACTTGCTGCCAGTGGGGACCGGTGTGACATGGAAGGCATATCATAGGCAAACTATGGGAGCATCCCATTCTTTAGAAGCTGGAGGTTTCAGGTACCCTCGTGAACCTTATGTGTCAGTGTCAGGTTTGCCGAGGGTTCTAGCGGGGACTGAGAGTCTGCCCCTAGGATAGGTTGACTGGTACCATCTGGAGTGCGAGGAGCCGGGGTTAACTTGTTGCTGTTAGGAAAGGGCTTTCCCACAACCCATGCTCACTGTTTCCCATGGCATTAGTCAACTTGCTAGTGGCTGCACCAGCTGCTGGGCGCAGAGTGAGGCCTGTAGGGACAGAGTCAGTGAGTCCCCCGTTCATACCGCACCTGCCCAGAGAGGTTTTAGGTCCCAGGACGTCTTACCCCAGAGCAGCAGCACAGTGGTCAGCAGAGACATGGCTGGGTTCTCAGTCTTGCTGAGTGTCTGCAGGGAGCTCCTGCAGTGGCCAATTAATCTGCGGGGCTGACCTTGCACTTCGGGTGACCTTCCTGGAAGGTAGGGCAGAGAGACAGCCGCTTAGCTTGGGGACCAGGAGGATTCAGCAATAATGCTAATCAATAATAGTGTGTAAGGATCCAGCCAAACTTGATAACAGTAAAATCTCCTCTTCCTAGGGTTAAAAACAACAACAAAACAGTATTTTAGACTCAGTAAAAGGACCACATTTCTTTAATGCAAAGGAATGCTTTATTCGAGGGCAGCCTGGGCTACACAGTGAGCCAGACTGACCCTATGTACAAAAGAACAAGAAACAAAACAGGACTCAGGAATACACGCAGTCATTTTGGTATCCTGAAATCGTCCTCCATCATTTAAACTGACGTGTGTGTGCTTGGAGACCACAGCCAGGCTGTGATTTCCTCTTCCCATTCCGGGGGCTCCTTGAATGAGAATTCCTTTCCCTTTGGAAATACCAGGAAGGGGGCATCTCATTTCCTGTCACTCTCCCAATTCCAGCCACTTTCCAGCAATGAAAGATGACTTTAATCTCACGGATGACATGGAGTTTGACTTCCACAATCTTTCAAATGGTTCACACACTAGGGTCTATGAAATCAACAAAGTCTGAGAGCGCGATGAATTAAAACCAATAAAATAGACACTAATTTTGAAAATTTTTGTCTTTCTGTACATGTCTTGTCATGTTTGTATGTGTGAGTTCATGTGTGTGTGTTGCGTCACAAATATAAAGTATCTATTGTGGTTCTTTGTCAATATGTCATGTCATTAGTTTGTGTCCACTGACTGCAATCATCACTGGCCACTGCTCCTGGACCATGTTTCCCCGAGATACCTCATGGTTTCTCTGGTCCTTCCCTAGTGAGCTGGACCAGCAAAGAGGTACAACATGCAGGAGAATTAGGGATGAGGCTTTGCCTTGCATGTTGGCTACAAAGAATCCTGTCCTGACTAGAGTCAGGTGTGAGGACGGGCCAGAGATAAGATGCCACCCTCATTGTGTGTGACAAGTCAGCAGCCATGTGGCCACTCTCAGCCTCAGAAGGAATCCTCCTTTATTGCTTTGGAAGGTTCCAGGAGGCTGACAGACCATGCTGCTCTGTGGACTTCACTAGGAGGGGAGATTGGAGGAGGTAAACACTTGGGAAGGGACTCATGTAAGGTCTACCACTTGTCTGGGGGCCCTTGTTTTTCTCCACAAAACCTCCTCTGTAAGGAAACTGACAGTGCATCTCTTAGCTGACTGTGACTTCCTACTTCAGTGGGCTCTCAACTGAGAAGATAATGACAGGAAGACTGTCATTATAGCCCTTAGAACTGCAACCCCTCTGGACACAACTGATGGGGGCTTCATTTTGCACTCCCTACCTTCCAGAAACCTCTCTTTAAGTCTGTTTGTTTCTTCCAAGTGATGACATCTGATGGATGGCTGAGACGGAGATGGCTGACTCACACTGGCCGAAGTGGGCTTTTCTAAGCTGAGATGGGGCTGGGTTCACTCACAGCCACTGCAGTGAGGTTTTCTAAGCTGTGCTTGCTTTCCCTGCTGTTCTAACCTGGTGCCTCGAGAAAAGACTGAGTCTCTGCATTTCTTTTTGGTTATTGTTGTCCTTTTTCTTATTTTAAAGCTATCCATTTCTTCCTCTATGGCTTCCAATATCTCTCCTCAGATCCTCCTGTCCATTTTCTAGAATTACCAAGTATGCTATACACCATACATGACTTGAAATATTCCCTCATCTCAGGAGGACCATGGCATTCCCTAGAATTCCCATAGAGGAACAATTAAAATAGGCAAAACAACCTTACTCAACAATGTAACATCTGGAGGCATCACCATCCCCAACCTCAAGCTCTATTATAGAGCTGTAGTCCTGAAAACAGTTTGGTATTGGCACAAAAATAGACAGGTAGACCAATGGAATTGAATTGAACACCCTGATATTAACCTATACATGCATGGACATCTGATCTTTGAAAAAGAAGCTAAAATTATACAATGGAAAAAAGAAAGCATCTTTAACAAATGGTGCTGGCATAACTGGAGGCTGGCATACACAAAACTTAAATCCAAATGGATCAAAGACCTCAACATAAATCCAGCCACACTAAACCTCTTAGAAGAGAAAGTGGGTGGTACCCTTGAACGAATTGGTACAGGAGACAGCTTCCTGAACATAACGCCAGTAGCACAGACAGTGAGATCAACAATTAATAAATGGGACCTCCTGAAACTGAGAAGCTTCTGTAAGGCAAAGGACACAGTCAGCAAGACAAAAAGGCAGCCCACAGAATGGGAAAAGATATTCACTAACCCCACATCTGACAGAGGACTGATCTCCAAAATTTACAAAGAACTCAAGAAACAAGTCTCCAAAACACCAAAGGATCCAATTAAAAAGTCGGCTACAGAACTAAATAGAGAATTCTCAATAGAGGAGTCTAAAATGGCTGAGAGGCGCTTGAGAAAATGCTCAACATCCTTAGCCATCCAGGAAATGCAAATCAAAACAACTCTGAGATACCATCTCACTCCTGTCAGAATGGCTAAAATCAAAAACACCAACGACAATTTATGCTGGAGAGGATGTGGTAAAAAGGGAAAGAACACTCCTCCACTGCTGGTGGGAGTGCCAACTGGTTCACCCACTTTGGAAATCAGTATGGAGATTCCTCAGAAAAATGGGAATAAACCTACCACAAGACCCAGCAACTCCACTCTTAGGCATATATCCAAAAGATTCCCATTCATACAACAAGGATGTCTGTTCCACTATGTTCATAGCAGCATTGTTTGTAATAGTCAGAACTTGGAAGCAATCTAGATGCCCCTTAACTGAAGAGTGGATAGAGAAAATGTGGTCCATTTACACAATGGAATATTATTCAGCAGAAAAAAAACAATGGAATCCTTAAATTTGCAGGCAAATGGATAGCACTAGAAGAAACCATCCTGAGCGAAGTAACCCAGTCATAAAAAGAGAAACATGGCATGTACTCTCTCATATATGGATTTTAGACATAGATCTGGGGTGTGCCAGCCTACAATCCCAAGGCCAGAGAGTCTGGGAAACAGAACCTTCATTCAGTGGCTGATGGAAGCAGAGGCAGACTCCCATAGCTAAGCACTGAGCTGAACTCAAGAAATCCAGTGACAGAGAGGGAGGATTGATGACCAAAGAGGTTAACACTGGGCTGACCTGACAAGGGTTAGCTCTTGAATTCCTGACTGATACCTGGGAATCCAGCATGGGACTGATCAAGACCCCCTGAATGTGGGTGTCAGTGAGGAGGCCTAGGTAATCTATTGAGCCTTGGGCAGTAGATCAGTATTTTTCCCGGGTATACAAATGGACTTTGGGCTCCCATCCAACAATGAAAGATGCACTCTCACCCTGAACTCTTGGGGAGGGTCTAGGCCCTGCCCTGGATGAAATGACAGACTATGGACACCCCCATGGAGAGCCCCATCCTCCCTGGGGAAATGAGGGGCTATGGGGAGGTTGGTGGGGGGGCACAGGAGGAGGGGAGAGACCTGGAATTGACATGTGGAGCAACCTTGTTTCTAATTTAAATTTAAAAATAAAAAATACAAAAAAATTGGA